GTGTACAGATTAAAAAAAAATCATTAACTGTGCTCTCTATTAAATATCCCGCTTTTCGATAGTTATTTCGAAGAAAAAAAATCGAAAAAAAAATTAAGCGTAAATTAGTTAGAAATCTATTTGGTAATACAAATATAGCTTCCGATTTAATGGATTAGCACTTTATTATTAAGTGTTTTTTTTATTCTTTCAGTCGTAATCCGGTAACTATTTTTTTTTATATTTTGCACTGAAAGACAAAGTTCCTAATATACTATGATCACAAAAAAAAAAACAACAGATAAAGAAAAGTTGAATAGTTAAATTTATTTAGGGTCCATCGTACGCCTAGTCATTATTTATGTATGAAAAATAATTGTCAATATTTGAAAAAGGAATTAAACTAAAAATTACTGAGTCAATTCAGTGAATTTTTAACATCACTTACTGTAACTAAATTCTCTTTCTTTCAATAATGAAACATTTCATAAGTAGTCATATATTTTTTATATTTTGTTAAATTATAATGTATTAGCTAAACATTTTTATTTAAACTTGTTTATCACAGATTTGATTTTATCTGTGAATCTATTGACAGGCAGTCGCTTGACTTTCTGTCTTCTGAGGGTCTATCACGAATATTCGTCGACAAAATTTTGTAATAGAATTTGTGCAGCGCCTCTACCGGGCGTAAAGTACACCAACAAATGTCATACAAATTTTGTCGATGATGTTACGAAAACGTTCCCGCAAGGTCTCCTTCGTGATAGGCCTTTTGAACTATCGTAAATCTACTAGTATATATATTGTTTGAGATTTTGTGAAAAATTGTATGATTTAGTGTGATTAATACGGTTTTTTTCACAACTAAAGATAAATCAGCGGTTTTTTCAAGCCAAATTTTTGTATAAAAAATTAGTTATACTGAATATCTGTATAACCGCGAGTTTCTGAGACCTTAAATCTCTGTTTAAAATACAATGTTATCCCTTTTTTGTCAAAGGTAATTGGCAGGGATAACGAAATGTTTTAAAAGGAGATTTTTGACTCAGAAACCCACGGTTAGTTACATTTTTTGTATACAGAAGGATACAAAAAGTGATACAAAGTATCGACATTTGTAATTTTAATGTGTGCAATTTGTTTACTTTCACTTCTTTCATAAATTGACACAAACTAATACAAAAGACAGAGGTGGAGAATTTTTAGTCAATTGGAACTTATTGCACCCATTCCGAGTCCTGTCCGCGCTGCATCGGGTTGTTGTTTGTTAATTTAAACTTAGTTCTATGGTTATTTAAATATTATCTACATTACATAGCGTTGAGTGTGTTAGGCGATTTTCATTTAAGCTAGTTACTGATTAGGAACCGGTATTTGGAGATGAAAAATGTATTTCGGCTTTGTTTTTTCGATTTAAAATTGTATTTTAATTATCGAACCACTAAATAAAAACGTTTCGTAACATGATTTTTGTAATTATTTTTGACCGCCCCACCCCGCGACGCTTTCAGTACGTCTTCGGCAGGAACACGAGGCGGCCGCGCGACGGGCACAAAACTAATTACGAAAATCATACGCGAGTTTTGCCCGCCGCAAACTAAGGCCGCTTCGTGTTCTTGCAGAGTCTGACAACGAGAGCGCGCCGTCTTCAACACCAACGAAGACCGCATCACCGGATGACCATCACAAGATCGCGCGCACGAAGTCCCAGGAGTTATTACTGTTGGAAAAGATTCAGGCTGAAGCTGCGGCTTTTTACAGCTACGAAACACAAGCACCCGAACCAACTAATGAAAGAAAAATCGTCAGAACCAATCTCACGTCGAAGTACGATAAGATTTCTCTCGACGAACTTGCAGGTAAACAGAATACTGAGACACGGAACAATCTAGACTTTAAAGTACTATCACTCGATGAAATCAGAGCTAAGAAGAAAGTAAGCGAAGTCGTAAAAACTACGCCGATAACATTAAATTTAAATAGAAAAAGAAAATTATCCACTCAAGAGATTAACACAACGACGGGTAATAAGATAATCAAAGTTGTAAGAAGTAATTCAATAGTTTATAAAAAATTTGATAAAAACGCACCTCCACAACACAATCAGAACAAAACTGGTGTCAAACGTAATGAAAGTTTGAATAGAAAACGTACACTGTCTGAACAGAGCGATATTTACGAGCAAGAAGATATAGAATTAGTTGATAATTGTTATGAATTTAAACGAATTAAAATTGGTGAACACACATCGAAACCTCGATTGATTAGGAATAGACAATCAAGTAATTGTACAACGAACAGTGAGAGTAAAGATGATATATACGGTAATAAAACAGACAATGATTCAGATTCTGAAGTTCAATTCGTTAGTATAGAGATATCTGAATGTGATGATAAATTATCAGATACTGAAGTGATAGATGTCGATACAACAAAGATGGCGGATCCCGTTGATATTGTTGATTTATGTGAAGATGTTGAAGAAACAGACATGTCTATAACTAATTTAGATTTAGTTAAAAATGTTCCAGATGTAGTCGCAAGTTGTCATAAGAAAATTACTGATAGTAATGACAAAGATTTACTAAATGACATAGACGCTTTACTAGATGATGATTTATGATTGTTTATATACCTTAGTGTAATATCGTTTGTTTCCGATACCAAAATATTCGTATGAAATATTGGTTATTTTGGTCTTAGAAACCGACGATTAGTCTCCACTTTACTAACATCTGTATTCAACATTACCATTTCACCTACAGTGGTTGTTTGAGACCAAAATCCCCGTTTAAAGCGTATTTTTATTTCTGTTCTGTCAAAAATAATAACAGGGATGAGGATATGTTTGCAGATATTTTGGTCTCAGAAACCAACGGTTAGAGAAAGAGAAAAATATGTTAAACAGATGTTTGGATAGTCTAAATTCGCGTTATAAGGTTACGATCGTACAAATTTTCATGTAGTTAAAATTCTAGTTACATAAATTGAAAAAGAAATGTTCATTTTGAACTTGAAATGTCATAATAGAAGTATTGTAGAGTAAGTTTTTTTTTAAATAATCTACATTTTGTAGATGATCGTTTACATACGAGACAAGGATTTTTAAAGTGTTCAGAATTTTATTAGGTTTAGTAAATTAATTTGTATAAATGAATTAGCTAAAATTTTTACAAAAAATTTGTAATTAAAATTTTACTGTAGCTTTAGAATTTTATATTGTTTTTAAATAGCAATAATGTAGGCAATTTTTATCACAAAAATAGAAAAAAAACTTTTTGTCACAATATCGCAAAAAATAGGTAATTAGAAAAACCATTTTATTTACAGTAAAAGTTGGGATATTCTTTTTAAATATTTTGACTAATATTGCTGTTTTTAGCACTTCATTTTAGGAAATCAATAAAGAAATAGTGCGTTAATTAATTTTAAGCATTATTTTTACTGTAAGTACCAGCAATAATTCTAGGCACCTAGTTGTAGGATGTTCAAAAGCTTTAATTATAATAATTTCGATAAGTACAATTGTTTGTTTTTTTTGTTCAGGATGTAACCATAAAAGCTACAAAAAAAATTGTTTATGAACTTTATTAATATATCATGATTTGGTACATTATTTTTTACATAGAATAAATAAATGCTCGTTATTATTATTCAATATTAAAAAAAGCAAACATACATAAAATTGAAACAATCACAAACATTTAAAATCAACCTTTCCTCAATACAATCGACATTCCAAAAATATAGTCCGGTTCTTTCGATCGCTGTAAAATTAATACAAATATTAAAAATCTATGCTTTACTACACCACGGGTCTTTTGTCTATGAAGTTAGCCTCAGAAAACATCTAACAATGAACGAGACAAACATATGGAAGCGACACAGGTGGGACAGAGACAGATATATGTCTACAACGTTTGACTAACTTCAGAGAAATAAGGAGCCGTAGTTTTTCTTATTGAATTTTTTTCATTATTCAATGTTATTTTAAAATTAGAACATAATCATATTTCACTAATGAGTGCTCAATGTTACCAAATTAACAAAATTACATCGACATATGTTGAATTGTATTGAATATTTTCAAAAATATCAAATTTAACATTCAGAACAAACTTGTAACAAAAGTTCATCAGTCAACAAATCGTATTAACAAATCGCTCGAATTCGGTATATCAAGAATTTTAATCCATGTCGATTTTAATAAAAATATCGTCAACACAGAACCGAATTAAAAGAAACCACAACACATTTACAAGAAAATTAAAGACGAATACGAAATAACGACATTTATACACAGGCTAGTGAGTTTCCACTGCTAAAAAACTCGCATAAAAACATATTGTTGTTTCAATTAAAAGATATTTGTTTTGAAAGATTTATCAAATATGTTTTTGTACAAATATTTCAAGAGTGAAACTCTATGATTACAAACATATTCAATAGGTCAAAACATAAAAACCTCTTTCATTTTGTATTTAAACATTACAATTGTGAATATGTTTGAATCTGCCTGAATTTGAGAGCACAAAAAAATCAGTCAACACTTATAAAAAAAAACTTGTATGCATTGTTTCAAAATGTGTATAAATTGACAAAAAAATGAGAAAATGAAACAATTCACTAGAGTACTTAGTTATAACGAGAGTGAAAGATGAAAGTGACATTTAAAAAAAAATTATACATTAAAAACCAATACTGTGGGAATGTTTGGGTTACAATTTTATTAGTTCGGTTCATAGGAAGTATAGAAAATTATATTCTAAAATTGGCCTCATCTAAGCATCAAGTTTTACTAAAAACCTACTAGATGACGATTGCCAACTGTTAAATTAAATAAAATAAATAAATGTCAAGTCGCGATCAGTCCGATTCAATTTAAACAGAAAATTACAGGCAACATAGAAATAATTCTATACGCAAATGTACTTATCAATTGTAGTTTTCTATTCAAGAAGGCTACATTGATCGCTCATTTTAAAAATATTCATATTAAATATAGATTATTGAAACTATTTTTTTTTTCGTTATTTTAAATCACTGACTTTTTGTATTGAATCTATTTTAGTAGCGTAGTATTTTTCCAAGCTGTAATTTTAATATAGAGTCGAAATAGTGGAATAAAAAATATCTCATTGGGGCATACATTTTTAAGGACTACGTATTTCTACACAATGTGCATTCGAGTGCTTTAAATTTCATAATCAAGAAAATTATCTACAAGGAATGAAAACTTATCTACTGCAACTTTTATCACAGTAGACAAATCCATCTCGACCAAAAGGCAAGAAACCGTAACGATTTCCAAACTATCAATCATAATAAGACGTTTTCAATACCCCCGTACCACGACATTCACGATTTAATTTTAAAAGCGTCTTATACCCTGATTATTGCGATACTGTTTCTCGTATTGTCATGTTCAACACGTTTCGTGGTAAGGGGGGCTGTGGACGTATCGAGCCGCAATATAGGCCATTCAAACTTCATGTGATTAACACTAAAACTGCCGTAGGAACTAACTTAATGGTGAAGCGCACCGGTAAAGAAGTTCACTGACCTCCATTGACATATGGACAGGTTGATCCTTGAAAATGTTTTTGCTTCGTTTTAGTTTAGTTAGTAGTTACTGTTTGCTGTTCAAATTTCAAACTCCCCTTTGAACCGCTAGTCAGCGACAAAATGGCAATAATCAACTAGACACAAAATACCACGACTTATAGCCTGTTCAGTACAATATAAAGGTCAGTGATGAGATTGCTTTATTCCTCGAGTGAAGCTCTAAGACGTAGTAACAAGTTGCGGTAACACCTATCTACTATAACATAAGGACTACAATCGGGTACGCAAGACGGGGCCTATTTCTTGGAGGAGCTCTTGATCTGCTGCAGCTTGAGCCGCAGCGCGTCCATGTCTGCTTCGTTTCTTTGTGAAAATGACTGCGCCGTGTGTAACTAAAACATTAGACATATATGGTTAAGGTGAAAAGTAATCTTACTAATATTATAAATGCGAATGTTTGGATGGATGCTTGTTAGAAGTTATCGTTAGAATGGTTGCTTGTATCTCGCTAAAATGTGGCATAGATGTAGAGCATAGTCTGGATGAACAACTAGGTAACTAATTAAGATTTTTTTTTAATTCCACTCGGGCGGCAGCAAATTATCTTGCAACACACTTTTACCATTAAAGCTCCAATCTAATAAGAAGTTATAACTAATTAGTGTGACCGTCAAATGAAATTTCACCGACATGGATAGGCAATAAAAATCCTTAACTATACACTTTATTTATACTGTGTGTTTAGTAACGTATATGTTAGCATACCTCTAGCTGAGGGTCGATGCTGTGTGTACGCGGCAGGTTGCCGTCACCCAGCGAGTCTGTGAGGACGCGGTTGTCGCCCACCGGCGTGCGCGGCTGAGATGTAGGACTTGAATCGATCTTTAAACCAGCCTTTGCCTAGAAACAATTCAGTAGAAATCGGTTAATACAACATCGGATAAAACGACATATTGGTCACAAAAAACGCAAATTCCAAAAAAGAAAATAGAAAAGATTTAAATATAATTTTACCTGTAATGCTCGCAATCGCTCCAGAAATACGACATGTGACTTTTCATCGGTTTCTGTATTGATATCTGAAACAATAAAATATATGAACTTTCACTTTAATACAATTATTTTATAATCCAATGATTATGTCTTGGGTAAGTATGGAAATTTTCAATAAAGATAATAGTCGGTTACTAAGTTTCATCAAGAACAAGCATATTAAAGAATTGCTTAGTAAATTTAAACCTTGTTTCAAAATTATAAAGCTCAATTTTATTTGCGATTAAAATATGCTCCCGGTCTGTGATAGGATGTCCCTATGTGTTCACCAAGTATAGTCGATTTCAAATATCTTGGTGGCTCTTAATTCCTTACTGGTCGCTGAACACAATGTTAGGTGTGGCGCACCGCGCCGACGATCACGAACCGTCAAAATATTTGTAAAGAACTTTAGTACTGCAGTTGGACCACAGTTATATTTTAATTTACGTACCCATATTATCAGTTTTGTAGTCATGTTTGTACATGGGCATTGTGGCCGCCTTGCGCATCTCCGCCACCTCCTTTAAACCTCGCTCCACGTAGTTCCGGAAGTAGAACGACGAACCTTTCATAAACGTCCAAATGTCCACTTCAGGGTGTCGCTCCTGTAAAGTTCATATTTTAGAACATATGTATGTAGCAAGAATATTAAAAGTTAAAGTAGTCTATTTCCATTTTGACCTACTAATAATCTACGAACTTCATTAAAAATCGTTATCAATTTACATACTCTGCAGTTAGTCTAATTTAGTCTAGTATAGTAGTTAATTTACTTGTCTTCTGGTAAAATGGAGTTCTATGCAGCTCTATTACCTATACTAAGTTAGTTTTTATTCTATACAACAAAAGTACACTCACTCTGAGATCATACAACTGTGATAAAGCTTCTCTCTTGTGCTCAGTCGTACTAATTCTATTCAATATCAACGCCAGTTCCTCGTGCAATGCTCTCGGTAGCCTGCCTGCGTGCAGCGCTGTGTTGGAACTCACGTTGCCCACTCCACCCACGTTGCCCACGCCCCCAACATTGCCCACGTTCCCAACGTTGCCCACTCCGATGGGCACATTACCTCCGTTCAAAGATTCAACGACATTCTCTTTCTTATCATCCTGTTTCAATTGCTGTGGAGATTTTCGAAATTTATTTATAATAGTTTCTTTGATATGATTATTAAACAGTAGCAATCACTAAATCTAAGTTCGTTCTTATGTGAGGTTTCCAAATATTAAATCGTGTACCGAATATTTATCAATTCTTAGTCGCCCGCGACTCCGTCCGCGCGGAATTAAAAAACTTTATTAGAAGCCTATGTGTTCTTGAAGATTATGTTCTACAACTATGCCAAATTTCAGCGAAATCCATGCAGTTCTGCAGATTTATAGTATAAGTAAAATTACCTTACCTTTAATACTTTGAACAGATACGGCAAGAGGTCGGATTCGTTGACATCAGGTATTTGCTTGAGGTGGTTAATTATTGCCCAGCTCTTCATTTTCACCAGCGTATGTACAAGTGTCTTTACAGTTCTAAAAACAATATAATATAAAAAAGTAAATTTTAGAATGTATATAAATGAAAATCGATACCTTCATATTCTCATATCACAAATTCTTTTTTTTATCCCATTGACTGTATTGTAATTTTTTTTTTGAAAATATCAAAGTATTTCGCATCTATGATATGTAGCCCAAAAGGCTGAATTTCGGCGATTGGCGTGAATTTGACTCTTATTCCGTATCATATCCCGTAAAGGTTAGATATATATTTAGTATGATATATAGATTTTTTTGTTAATTATTATGTTAACAATAATTACCTGTATGGTGTATCACTGATATCAGTGTTCTTCTTCCAATAGTTATTAGGATATGCTTTATAGAAGAGATGTATCTTATACAACACCGCGTCATAGTCTATAGAGTTGACATCCCACGTGGCTATCATTTTTAGAGTCTTCCAGAAGCACTTCAGTAATAAATCTTGGTAACGAGGAAATGCCGGATCCGATACGCCGATAGATTCGTGTAGGAGTGATACTATTGCACTGAAAAATAAAAAATAATGAGTTCTTTTATATTAATTGCATTATATATACATTTTAAATAATTTAATTTTATGCATAACTGTTGAGTGTCTTTTTTTAAATGTCCGATTCAAAGGACCAAAAGAAGGACCGACAAAAAAATCCTAATAAAAGTTAGTCTAGTTACCATAGCAACGGCGTTCTAGGTGAATGTTCCAGAACGCTGACGCAAGCGTTGTTCAGGATGCGTACGTATCGCTCCGCATCGCCCGCAGCGCCACCTAGCGCACGGAGAAGTTCCTTCAGCACCTCGCAGAGTGCTTCTTCGTTGGCGTTACCACCGCAGTCCACAGCATCATAGAACTATAAGGAAAATTAATAAACATGTTGTATAACAAAATTAACGTAAAATTCAAAGAACTTATCAATGCGTATAGCCAATCGGTCCAACAGGATTTGACAATTCCCATTGGACAGAGTGAGTCCATAGAATAAAAAAAAAAAGATTCCATTAACCCAACTGATTTGATGGATGCAATCGGCACAGTATGAAATTCTTTTCCATCAGACCGATCGGCCCAAGGAGAAGCACTCGATAAAGGCCTTGACCAACCTTCAGTTGATTTTTTAAAATTAAACTGTACAATTCGACTGAACAGTTATAACTAAAAGTAAATAACAGCATTAAATTTTTAGTCTTTACGCAAGGTAGGGTAGCTAAAGTACAAGAGTTTAAACAGATTTCTAATACCAGTCTCAGTATAATTAAATATTCTCTTAAGAACAGTTAATTAGCATTATACTGTGACACAACAAGTAGATTATAGTTTGAGATTAAGTGAAAAAAAATGATTACATAAGCCTATATGGTTAACAGAATTATTGTGCAGTAAGTACATAAGTCATTCTAATGAACTAATGGAATAAATTATGCAATCCTTCCATTATTGTTGTTTGTTTACATACATCTATATCATTAAATACTTAAGTAAATCTTATTTTGATTTTTTTTGCACTTTGCATTCACTCCGAAGCGATTGCATAACGCTGATTAAAAATGTATGAAACTGACACACAGTGACAATCATTTGACGTTTTCAATTAGAGCCACCGCACACAAGACTTGTAGTCGCCCGACAGTTTGATCGTGCGCTTAATTCGTATGACCATGTAAGGAGGTGCACACATTACACCTATTACTTGCTCATACTGATTAAGCGCACGATCAAACTATCGGGTGACTAAAAATTTCTAGAGTACAGGAGGATCAGATGGAAATTATTGTCAGTTCTATACAATTTTGAACTCCTTTAAACACTTTGTCTAGGTGTTCTGATTTCATATTTACTGTTAACAGATTCAGTAGTTATTACTAACCGTATTAAGTGCGCCAGTAAGACATTTGTAGGCAGCGAGTGTGGTCTGTGGATCTGGAGGTGTGGGGGAAGTGCGCACGCGGCGCAGTTGTGTCGCAATCGCTGTCAGCAGCACCGACTCATACGCAGCTAGCGCCGCCCCACGACCGGACATCACCGTGCCTGATATAAGTGATACCGCTCGGAACGCCGCCTGGTGGGGAATTTTAAAAACATTAACATGATTCACAATCAGAGTCACTTTTGATTGTTACCAGTTCAATAAATTGCTAGTATAATTTGAAAATAATGTCTAATTGTGGACCGTCATAACAAAAACGATGAATTACAAGTCGTTTTTTGTACGTTAGTGTAATTTTGTAAAACATATTTTTGAAAATTTCAAAACGTGATAAATCACATTGGATTTTGTTCCAACGCTCCGAAATTGGCTTTGCGGTACTCATTGTCATTTAGGCCACAAACCATATTACTACCATTAACTACATTATAAGACTCTCGATATAACGTTCTACTAGATCTAGTCCGATTTTCGCCTACTTGAGATTATTTGCATAACATTAAAAATTTTAAATTTAAACAACCTGTACGCATATATTTCAATACATCAAGTACACAAATTTACAGGGTGTTGTATTTCAACCTTATTTTATTATAATTGTTAAATTCAGTGTCAATATTATAACTTACATTGAGATCAGGACTGGCAATAGAATGTATGATATCAGCTATCTGGGAGTCGTCAACTAGGGGTGCTGCGTGTGTGGTGTGCTGCGCAGGCTGTGCGGGCTGCGCGTGCGCCGCTAGGGGGTAAGACGGCATGTGTTGTGGTGGGCACATCGGTACCATGCTGGGCAGACGGAAAACAATTTAAAATACGTACATACAGACAATACAATCTTATTAAATGTTTATTAATCATTGCATTCAAATATTTTTTTTGAACTAAGACATGAAATCAATATTTTTTTTATAAGAAAAATGTCTAATGTTAATTAATCTCAAGCACCTAGGAATTTGCGTTCAGCCGTTCTAGAGATACCTTCAAACAAACATCCTTCCATCTAAACATTCGCGTTTATAATATTAGTAAAATTTAGCTCGCTTCTACTCAGAGTCTTTATGGGTCTTCCTTAGTAAAGTGTAGCAGTTAAACTATTAAACTTTATAAACATACCTGCTACGCTGCAGATACGGTGGCACGGGTACTGGTTCATCCAAGAACTTGAGGTCGACTTGTGGAATATCCACTTTTCTCGGCGTAGGTACAGATGCGTCCAATTTCGCGATTAACTCCGGGTCTAGACCGAACGGGCCCGGTATCACACGCGGGGTTAGCGCTACACTGTGGCAGTGAAAAGGTAAAATCTAATTAATAACAGATTAATCTCTTTTTACATAAATTAAAAAGCTATGAAGCACTAGCTGTCACCCGCGCGGAATTAAAACAAAACTTAACCTGTAACCTAACTAACCAGAATAATTTGTACATCTCGAAATTCCTTTAACCGTTCTGGAGATGCCTTCTAACCAACATCCCTTCATCTATACAACCGTCCATACATCCAAATATTCACATTTATAATATTAAGTAAGATAGTAAGAAGTAAGTTAATATTCCCCATTTGAACATCTGTTTGAAGCTGTTATAAACAAATTTTACTATTATTAGGAATGATATTTTGTCATAGATTATAAAAAAAAGTATATATTTACGGTTGTGTGACAGGGGGCGGTGGCTGTTCCTCCTCTTCATCCTCTTCACTTTCCGCCGCTGGCACTGTGTCCACCGAGATTACTCGTCTTGGAGGTTCCTCCTGGACAAATATTTAATCATTTCGTTAACAGAAAGTCAAATAAACCTTGCCCTAATCTTAAGATTATGCTTTAACCATCGAAATACTATAAAAACTTTTTTCACTCCATATTCTAACACAAGATTTTTTAAAGAATATTTTCACAAAAACATTGAAATAATGATATATAGTAATAGCTACAATTTAATTCAAAGAACTAGCGATACGATATCGTATAGCATTTCTCTTTATACAAATACAGTCAAACTCGGATAAGCGAGAAACCTCTATAAATGAATTATTGTCTGGTCCCGACAGACGACTTTCATAAGCGAGGCACGTGTCACAGAGAAAGGTTAATAAGGAAGAAAAATATCTAGGTTTATTGGACTCTTGTTTGTCCCTTAGATTCACGCTTATCCAGGTTTGACTGTATTCACTTACCTCAGGCATGGGCTGCATTGGTTTCCCGCTGGCAGACAACGGCACGACCATTGACCTTCTCGCTTCCGCACTCTTACTCTTGCTCGCTCTTTTTATCCTCTCTTCTAGCAGAGAGAGATCTTTATCCGATATCTGCAATTCAAATGGCATTCGTACTGGAATTTTTGACATTTTCTTAATAATATTTTTTTTTCACTAATTATGATAAAATTCACTCATTTTTCTTATTTATATATAAATTTAAAACGAAATACTATTGTATATAACAAGTTTATGTCAGAATACTCAAGATAATGTCTACTATCTGTTGATAATGTATAATTATATTAAAAACATAAGGATCAATGTAGTGATAAACCCAAGGATTTAAAGTGACATTGTATATTATAATTCTATAAATATTTAGATAAGATAGACATGAATAATGTTTGTACATAATATATTTAAATATGACATAGATTATGTAATATTTTGATAGAGAATTTAGTATATACATTGAAATAAATTTTGGTTTGAACACATTAATAAAAAATCGGTAAATAAGTAAACACAAATGATGTTGATAGACTTTAGAGAAAAAATAAAAAGAGGTAGAAAAACGCGAGTTAAATGTATTTTGACATATAAAATACACATTGGGTATTTATGAATGCGCCCGAGCAACTGCAGTTATCAATATAGAATGACGTCACACTGTTTTCATTAGTGTAAACGTAAATATTTGATTAATATGTAAACAAAGATGTTTGTGTCCGAATTTAATGTTGAAAAAATAAATAGCTTTTGTTTATATTAGCAGCAAAACATATAAGATAAAAGCCAAGGTCGGATTATTTTGCCATGATTTTTAAGTGTATTTTGAGTAGAGGAAATCTTCGCTAAGCGACACTAATAAAAGCTAATAAACGATTAATACTTTACTTTCTTGAAGGATAAATCCTCCACCTCCTCCTTTGTTTACAAAGTTCTTTATACATAAAATATTAAGATAAAAAAGTACTAGACAAGTTTAATACCGTCCTTGACTGAACTCGCGTCAGTCTGAGCATAGCTAAGGCTTCAGGTTAAAGCTACTATTTTTGAATAAGAACATTAGCGATACTAACGTATATAATCTAATTATTCACTGAGCTGTGATTAACTCACCGTGAGGTCACGTGACAATCTCTACAACGTGATGTGATAATGAGTATACAGCGAATAATTAAAGTTTTTATGAAAAGATGAACAGGTTTTAAACCAATTAGACTCTAGTTTAATATTTCATACTAGTATGTTAAATATTAAGTTTTATACAAACTGGTGCCAGTGACTTTGTTCGCGCGAAATTAAAAAAAAACAACTTGATAAGTAACCTAAGTGTTCTTCCAGGCAATGTTCTACATGTATGGCATATTTCACATTTCAGATATGAGCCGTTTTGGACATCTTCAAACAATCATCCATCCATCTAAACCTTCGCATTTATAATATTAGTAAGAAGTAACATTGGTAAAACGATTGTATAGAAATACCCCAAAAACATTAAAAATCACAGTCGCAATAAACGGTTCACTTAATTAGGCAAATCAAGCCTCAGAGCCGTGATATTATTAAACTTATATACCTTAATCTCTTGATTTATTTAGAAAAGTGTTTTTATTTGGCTTGCGGAATAGCATCATGTAGACCAAAAATGTCCAATTTTTTTTTTATATCCCCCTTTAAGTTACCATAGACTAGATAATTCTTCATGGCAAATTTACCTGTCCAATCATCTTGTAGACCTTCTCTCCTTCTAGGAAGTATGCATTAGCGACACAGTTGAGTGCAGCAGAGCGCACAGCATTATCTCTGTCTCCGATATGTCTCGCCAGTTCACGTAGAGCCGCGCCCCCACCACCACCTGACATCACCGTGGATCCATACGTCTCCAGTAGGTGACCGATGCACTCCAAACATTCTGGAATTATTAGAAAAAAAATATAGCAGTTGATAGTGAAATCGGTTCAGTAGTTTTGGAGCCTTTTATCAAATCAAATCTTTTCTCCTTAATTTTAAGGAGAAAAGATAATAGTAATATTTATTACTATTGTAATGTACAAGAAATATATAGCGGCAATGGGCGAGACACGTGTTAAAAACTATATTTTTGATTTGTTACTGTTCTCAACTAACGTGTTTTTTTTTATAAAAAAGAAATAATCGTCTAATTTAAAATTTTCTTTAATCGTCCAAACCTCATGAATGGAGTAGGCAAAGATGATAAATTTTGTGTTCACTACGTCGTTCTATTTCGTTAGCATTCTAAAAAAACGTCAAATTCTATATCTCAATAAATTAAGAAGATTACTTACCAGCTCGTTGCCTTGCGTTTTTAGATTTAAGTCCTTCCATGAGATATCCAAACAGCTTAGTGACGGAGTATACAACACATATCTGTTTGAAGAGAGCCTTTACGCCATTACGTACTGTATCTTTTGGATCTCCCACCTAAAAACAATATCTAATATAAAACATGAAACTAAGCCAAAAAAATGCCACTAAGTTCACAAGGTGGATATTGAGATTGATAATTAATATTAAATTAAAACTTTTCAAAATAATGTCGTAAATTTAAATTAAACGGATAGCGATACGACATACATTTTTGTCATAAAATTCATACAACATTCTTATGAAAAATTTTGACAGTTATCATAAAAAGGGTATTGCAGAATATCAACAGTACAAAATAAAATAAAAAAATACTAAATACAGTCACAAACCTTTAACACGAGGTAAGGTATAAAGCAATTAGCCTCATATTCTGCCATAGTATAATCACTATCCATTAAAAACTGGAACACCAGAGAAAGGTACTCCAAACCCTTCAATATGACAGATGGATTGGTGTCAAAGAACCTTAGTGTCAGCCATTTGAGCACTAAATCTAGATTAGCCATTAACGCTGACCCGTTCTCTTGTAAATCATCCGATAGAGCTTCAATTGCTTTTAAATGGTATCTATAAAAAAATATAAATTATTTGAGCGAAAAAAATAACTATAACATAAATTTTATGTTTGAATCAGGGTATAATAATAATAAAATAATATTCGATAGGTTTTAATTTTTCAAGAAAATAATGATTAAAATATCTAATATTTACCTAAAATCACTATGGAACATGTTAGCAATAAGTTGCTTATTCAATCCGGCGCTCGTCATCTGCTCCTTCAAAAGATCGAAGAACTCCTCGCGAGGTGTCGTAAAGTTCCATTTTAATACTGAAACAAACAATTTCATCAAGAAAACGCTATATTAATAGTAGTTTAGAAATAAATATAATAATTGACAATATAAAGAAAAATAGAATAAAAAAGTAATTAAATAAACAGAAGAAAATTAAAATAAAAACAGTTATGTACCTTTTAACTTTTGATCGTCAATAATCCTCTGATTTTTGGCGTTGTTGTTAGGTAACAATGGAGTGCAGTCATCGTCCTCCTTTTTACCGCGACTAGACGCCGATGAAGGCTTAGCGACGCCCTTAACAAAAAATAGTATTTTTCATATTAATAATTCTTGGTTAAATCTATTAAACTATCCTATGTTATTAATTAAAAGAATTAATTTTTGAAAATGTGTCCAGTAGTTTTTGAGTTTATTCGATACATACAAATATAAAAAATCTTTTCACTTTCAACTATTACATTTCTGTAGAAAAAGTTGTAACTTTATGAATGTCATACTTAATTTAAGTTTAACAATTATTTAAATTTTTATCAATTTTTACCTTTCCTTTAGCGGGCTGTGTAGTTTTCTTCTCGGCATCTTTTTTCTGAGCACCTGCTGATTTGACTCCGCGCGGTTCATCTTTCTTGCTTTTAGTCGGTAGTGGTTGTACAGGCAGGTTTGGCCGCGCCTTGTCAAGCACGGCTAGTACCACTGTTTTTGACCCCGGCTGGTAAAAAAAAGTTAATTATATTTCTTTTTATTTACTGCATAGTGCTACAGAAATTTTAATACTGGCTGGTATGATGGCAGATTATTTAATTTATTATTACGACTACTAGAACTCTAGTACATTAATAATCTTGTTACTATTACTTAAAAAAATAGTTATCGTTGAAGTTCTACTAATATATGAAAATTTATATTAGTGACTTCAAATGTAATAAATAATATAAAGAAACAGGACTTGCATATTGTTCCATCACACATATATGCACTTCGTACGAAATGACGTCACCGGCTTATGTTAACATCTTAGTTAGGTACCTTGAGTTTGTCGAGGTGTTTGTGCATATGCTCGTAGCCGAGATGCAACATGATGGGCAGCACGCAATCAGCAGCAGCTTTGCGTACGTCGGCCGCGCGGTCCTCCACGCACGAGAACAGCACAGGCACGCACACAGATAGCTCCTCACGGGGGAATGATTTTAATGGAACTGTGAAAAACAATTAAATTAATGTCTGTATGTATCTGTACCCATTTGCCAAGCAAATTTAAGGAAGAGACAAGTAAAATGTTGTGTTATACAAAACCTAAAACTGCCAAGAAGAATGACTTAGTTTTTACATGAAGTGAAAAACAATAATCTATTATGTGAATGTTTAGACAATGTAAACGCAAAGTATTACCATTGGGCAGATGATCGGCTAGCCACTGTAACAATGTGGCTCGTAGCACAGGAGAGCCGGATTTGAGGGCGTCAAACACCATCTCCCCTTCGAAAGGTGAATGCGGCCCCGCTTCTTTGCACCACGTCTCCACACACGATACAGCTGATGTACGGATCCATTGCTTACTATCACCGAATGCTAGAATATATATCATATTAATATTACAGCAGGCATATATTTTTATAACTTCCTAAAACATAATATAAATTTCATATATTTTTTAACTTGTAATTAAAAACTGTTTTATGTACTACTTCTGCGTATTAATTATTTAACGTTTATTCATTCTCGCAATTGCATACAAGTACAGTTTTGGATAATCCGTAATCGGAACTGTCGTTTCTGACATGTTCTCATCAAAATCTGCGATAACAATGTTTCTGAACGACTGTTTTGGCAGTTGAAATCACAAAATAATGAAACTTATTCATTATGCTTACCTTGGAAGAAAGGCGGGAAGAATGTCCGCACATGTTGTTTAGATTTTGGTCCAAGCGCAGTGGCGAGCGCTTCGCAGATATGTAACGCGCTTTGAGCTAGTTTAGAATTAGAGTCCAGGAGTCTGGCCACCAGTGCTGGGGGTAATTCTCCAAGAGATGGCTTTATAGGCGATGAGTTTGTGATTATAGCCTTTAATTTGTCAAGAGCTTCGTTTCGTACCTGAAATATTTATTTAAATTAAATTACATTTTACGTTGAATTTAATTGTAATTCTAAAGAAAGAATCTGCAAAATATTTACTTTCTTACTTAATAATTTCATTTTAGAATTTTCAAAGTGTTTTTTTTTTACTTGACAAGAACTTTTTCAAATAGTTTTTACATCAGAGATGGTCAATTTTTTTTAATACACATGTACAAACCTTCCAATTCTTATCATTAATCTCAGCGACCAAGGCATCAGTGATCAAAGGCGCGATGTCAGTGCGAGCTCTCGCGTCCTCCACAACGACAGGCTCCTCATCCACCGCGTCTTCGAAACCTTCCTCTATTTCATCACCAACCGAACCTTTGCTTGCGGACTGCAACAAATTTTACACATAAACAAATACCATTGAAATGAGAAATAAAAGTAGTCCTATCATAGACTTATTAAAAACATTCATGTTTGTATCATTAATTGAAACAATAAAACTTTACAAAATAAATCCATAGATTAATTAATGATATTTTCATCCAGTATTAATATAATTTATCTTATCATTTGAATTCAACTATTAATAACTAACTTCCATACTCATAGACGTTTTATGGTAAACATTTACTTAGTAAAATTGTATTATACTAAATCTATTGGAAGCTACTTCATTAGTGGACACTTAACTCTTAGTTCTTACCACAATGTCAAATAAATAATAATTTACGGAACTTTGTATTCAGTTATTTTTTTTCCTAAAATTACTTATAAGTTTGTTACTACAATGTATGGTAAAAGACGTAGTTTCAATATTACTACAGCATAAAATGATACCTATAACATACCTTACTAACTGTTCCAATCTGTCGACTAGGTGCCGGCGGTGAACTATTCGCATATTTATCTAATTCGAGACTTATCAGTTGCTTTGTCGCTGCTTTTTCACTATCAAAATGGTTGATAAGAGATGGTCCCACGTACAGAGATAGTATACCAAGGAAGTTGACTGTCGATGTTCTTACATTCGGATTTGTAGCTGATAAAGCTTTCTTAGAATGTGCTACTATAGATTTTACATTCATACTGTAACAATACATACAAAAAGATTAATTTGTAAATATCCGACTTGAAGGACCATAAAGACATTTTTATGACAAAATACTTTACTATTCATTGTTTAACGTTCAGATCGACGTATGTATGTAGAAGAAGTGAGAGGTCTCTGCCTACTCTTCTAGATATGGACTCAAGTTAAGTTGTTGTTGCTAGTAGTTAATTATTAAATTAATAAAAATTTAAAATAAATAATCAATACTTACGTAAAGCCAAACTCTTTAATCGCACCAGACATCCAGTTAAACATCTCAGACTGTACTTTAGGGTTCTTCTGTGAGTCCATAGCGTATGTTAGACCTTCATTAAGAACATGTTCCAATCCACAACCATCGGCCAGCGAAGTGAGACAATCTGCAGATATTGACAGGCAGGAACTTTCTCCTAGTTTTACCACAACATCTTGTAACACGAAATTGGCTGCTGTCCTGATGATAAAGACAAATTTTGTTTATTTAGTATGTTCAAACGTCTAATTATCTGTGTAAAATAACCAATATCTATTCAATTTATTTTTTCTTTAAAGGGAGCAAGTTATAACACCAACACCCATGTAAGTTACAATTCCTTTTCGTTTTAATAACCTTCTAATAATCTTCTTCGAATAAGTATTACGGGAAGAAGAAGAAATATAGCGCAACGAATGCTACTTGAATAATACATTGGTCAGTTGGATTTCAACATAGTATGTTGAAGCTGGATTTTGTTATCAATAACCCGAAAAAAATGGTAAGTCAACTTGAATTAAGTTTTAACGACTTTAAACTCAATTTAGGGAGTAGAAACACCTTTTTATGAAATATTGAACCGAAATCGCACTATCGCCTTATTAAAACGACTTTAGCACACCGCCTAAAAGTGTGTTTAAAATCAAAGAGATCTTGTTGACATATAATTTTACTTTTAAATGGCATTCCATTTGGATTATTATAAGTTGAATAAAAAACGATTGTGGAATAAAATGCTATCGCTTCCAGTAACATCAGTTTAACCTTTTGGTATTCCAACCAACTAGTACTGTGTCTACAGTGCATAACATTCATAGTAGAGAGTAAAATGTTATTGTTACTACTAGCGTAAATTATCACGCCTAGGATTCAATGAAACTGTTAAGTATTGCTTTTACAATATTGGACATAAATAATTAACACAAATATAAGAAAGAAGAAGAAGAAGAAGAAGAAGAAGAAGAAAAGAAGAAGAAGAAGAAGAAGAAGAAGAAGAAGAAGAAGAAGAAGAAGAAGAAGAAGAAGAAGAAGAAGAAGAAGAAGAAGAAGAAGAAGAAGAAGAAGAAGAAGAAGAATTTTCATTTACATATATTGAAAATAAACTTACGTGGAAATGGGAAAATTCTCCGTAATATATTTGCAGGCTTCCAGTCGAGCTTTCAGGACTTGTACATTAGTATCTTTGAGGCCAGGTTTCTTATTCAAAACCCTATATAGGACTTGCGCTGATGTGTCATCAGAGGATAGACCTTGTATTGTTGAATGTAGACTCTGAACTGCTGTGAGACGGTTCTTCCAATTACTGTCACCTAAACCTGAAAATATTGAATTTGGTATTAAATACACGATTACGTGAAACAATTTGTACATATGTACATCAAACATTTTCAAACCTTCTAATAAGTCATAAAATAGAATTTCTTCACAGATAAGTACAGGTAGCATCACGATGTTTTCGTTCACCGTAAGAACGTCGGATAAATGTAAATCGTAAAATTGAAAAACGCATTGGTACATGGGGGGATTCGAACCCAGGACCTGCAGATAACAAGTCAAGTGCTTAACCCCTGAGCAACCGACGCTCAAGAGTATACAAAGATGATGATAATGTTTGAAAGTGTAATTTTTACCATGTATAAGCAAAATATACAATATATAAATGATGTATAGAAATGCTTTAATATAACTTACCACTAAGAACTTCAGATGGAAACAACTTCTCCGCTCTAGAATCAACTTCATCATCAGATAATTCCTGCTCTCTCGGCGGACTGGCTTGTGCTTTAGTTGCCTTCTTAGCACTGGCAGGTGGTTTCTTAGCACCGGTTGTTGGTCGCTTAACCGGTTTAGGCTGGCTTGAACCGGCCGTTGGTTTAGAATCCCCTTTGCCTGCCGCTACTGGGGTTTTTGGTTTCGTCTCCTTCTTTGGTGCGGCAACCTTGACTTGTATCACCGCCTTAAATAAATAACATTCTATACTTAACCTAAATATATAATTAATAATTTCCTTGCATCATGTAAGCCACAGATTTTTTTTTATTTCAGAACTATTGTCAATAATTTGCTCAATTCTCAATTTGGTGTCAGTTTATTATGACCAGTGAGATTATAAACTGACAGAGTTATTAAGATATGGATGAAATTAAACAAAAATTACAAACATGATCATAAATAAAGCTAAAACATAATCATATAAATAATAGTGATAATTGTAGATAACATATATAGATATTAAAAACGCATTAAATGCAATTTAAATACCTTTTCAGCGAATTCTTTAATCTTTTGTTCCTTCAAGTTATCAAGTTTGCCAATGTGCGGTGCTATGTTTTTCTCGCCTACTAATTTCGTTGCGGTACCAAGCGCCTCCGCAGCAGCGTCTCGTACCGCTGGATCTGTATATGAAAAACTGTTTAATACATTGGATAAAGCAACATATAGCGACCAAAACATAAGGGGGTGCACAGCAGTGAACACATAAAATCACAAATAAAATTGAGCTTTAAAGGATTGAAACACGGTTAAATTACATGGCAAGAGTTTAAAAAAAGAAAAGTTAAATTAAGCCTTGTTTCAATCTTGTAAGGGTCAACTTTATTTGTGATTTTATCTGTCCTGCTCTCCACCTCAGTATGTGAAACTAGACCCTAATATATTGTTCTTGATTGTACTTAATTCTTATTTACAATCGAAAATGTCCAGTTTCATTCAGTAATACCATTTTCATATTTAAAAATAAGGGGAAATATTATTAACATAATTTAAAAAAACATGCAAGAAACTAACATAAATGAACACGAAAAACAATAAACTAAATACTTTCGCTTTGAGTTTATCGAACATTGACCGACATTGCGAGCTTAATTGTTTAGCGTGACCGAAACTTTTCAATCGATCTAAATTTATCCGACGTTTTAAGAAATATAACTAACAAGTTCAACTTTTTATCGACTATTTCTGAAGTAAATTGCTTTTGTAATATTTATTATTCACGCTGCTCGGGTGGTCTACTGAAATTTATTTAATACTTTTCGGGGTTCTAATATAAGCTTTTTTTATTATTATGTTAAATACAAATTCAATGTTTTTATTTCTCTTAATTCAAAAATAAAATTTATCAAAAAAATTGTAAAGGAACAGTAATCTGTTCTTAATTAGTTTTGGCTGATTTAAGTCATTTTTGTTGAACATTAAAAAAAAAATGCTTAAATCTTAACATATCTATAAGTCAGAAGGTGATCAATCCATTTTGATACAAATTAAATTAATCAGATCAATCTTAATATTAGGTTTAATAGTAATATTAAGAGAGAAACAGTTTATTAATATTTCACTAACCTGCACTTTCCAGTAGTTTAAGTAATCCAGCAACATACGCCTTGATAAGTTTCTTGTTAAACGCCGCCGGTTGTGTGTGACAGAGCGCTCGCGCCAAGAACAAAGCGCTTTCAGCTTTTATTGATGGATTCTTGTTGTCAAATGCAGCTATCATGTCCTCCATTATCGCTTCCAAGTTTGTCTGTAAAAATATTGCTTAATATTAGAAATCGCATAAAATTAATAATATAGCCACATTAGAGTAACATTGGATTAGAGAAATAGCTGATGGAAAAGAGAAAAAAGTTGATAAAAAAGCAACTCTCGAAATGTCACATGGTCAGTTTAAAACATTTTGTCGATTCTACTAGGTAAGGTATGGTCAGGTAATCTTATAAGAGCAAATCTTTAATGGATGGATGGATGACTGTTTCAAGGTATATCCGGAACAGCTCAATGGATCTTGCTGAAATTTGGCAGAGATGTAGAACATAGCCTCGAAGAACACAAAGGTTTATTAAGTTTTTTTTCAATGCCGCGCGGACGGAGTCGCTGGCTACAGCTATACCAATAAAACTGTATTGTACTTACGCAAGGGTATATAGCATCTATAGCCTCTCTGAGTGCTGCCACAACATTAGTTTTCTTCTCTTTAAACTTCTCTAGTATGGATTGTACACAGGAGACTGCATACGGCTGGAACTTGCCGCGCAGACCACTTGCAACCATACCCATTAATCTGCCTCCGAGAGCTACTAACATTACATTTGTATCCTTTGATATAACCTGCAAAGAAAATATTATAAAATAAACATTAATAAAAATACTGGTAAAACTAAAAAAAGACCCTAAAATCAAACCTGGTTAAGCGAGTCTAGTCTTAATGGATATACCTCCATAAGAGATAAACTCGGGTTACATACAAACCTCTATAAGTAAGAAATATATTGGAGTTTAGCTTATCATGGCTCAACTGTATTGCAATTAATTTTGTAGTAATTTTTAATTAATCATTCAAAGATTTTCTATTAACAATTAATGGATAAATAAATACGTTTTCTAATTCCATTAAATTATTTTTATTAAAAAATATAGACGTACCAATTAACTTTATGTTGTTTATTTAAATATTTAGTTATCCTATTATTTTACATTTATTTATAATATAATCCATTTGCATATACCTTTTTCAATGCTCTGACCAAATCAGCATAATCTCCAGGTTCCAACCTCGGTGCAGCCTTCAACAATGCTTCCAAAGCATCAAGTGCCTCTTTACGTTCTTGCCATTTTTTAGCCTCGAGTTTATCATAGAAGTCTTTTGGTAATTTTGAGAGTATTTCCACTGGGTCCAGTAGATCGTAAGGGTCCATTTCCGCTGATTCACCGCCGCCATTCTCAACATCTTGATCGTCTGTCCCACCTAAATAAATTATTAGTTTTTATAACTAAACAAGATCTATTAGCCTACGTAAAGCAATTTTTTTAAAGATCAATTTAAATTAAGCTTTTCAGCATTTTGAAAATCTACGTATTATTGTATTTTATTATCATTACACATATTATTAGGAAAAGAATATATCTAAGGCATCTGCCATCCTGATAATTTATTTAAGTATACTCTTAACAATCATTCTAAAGACTTAAAATATTTTTGACATTTTACAGTTAAGGAAATAAACGCGCAAAACCAATATAATAAGCTAGTTATAGAAAATACATAAATAAATATAAAAATATGCACTTACCATCAGCAGCATCAGCAGACGGTACATCCCTAACTCTATTTTGCTGAGAGCGGAGATATCTTGTTGGCTGAGCACCTCCCGAACCAAAGGATTCCCTCAATTCCTGCTGGACAACAGCTTGGAGACTAGCGATGTGAGGTTCTATAGCTGCTCCTATCCACCTGGATTAATATTCATCTTAATATAATCAACACAGTGTATAATCTATGGATTTAGAACCCTTTTCCACTAAAATTACGAGTATGTAAGTTGCAAAAAAAAAAAGAAAAAAGTAAATATATTCTTGACAAGGTAATCATGCATTGCTGAACTGACAAGTAGAAAACACATACACTGTCAGGGAAATTATTTTAAACATATTACCAATTACTATGTTGTCATTGCGACTATTGAAGACCAACATGTACAGAACTATACAGATTTATTAACCCACTAACATGAATTAGAAATTGCGTTTTGCTTGTGTTCGCATAATTATTGGAATTGGAATGGAAACTGCACTTAGAATGCAATCTATTAGTAATTAAGAATTTTCTTAGCATTAAAAAGATTATTGGCACAGTATTACTATCAGGGGATATATAAAACAGATAAACAAACATTATATTCTCAAAAATATACAGGGTGTTTCTTAGGACCAGAGGCTTTTGAACCAACATCTAACATACAACCTGTATAAGCTGCAGAGATAATTTCACACATAATGTATGAATTACATTTCCTGTATTGTCAAATTCAATTAAAAATATTTTATTACTTAAATTGTCTATTTTTAAGAAGTCTGTAAATATCATCTTTTAAAGTTACAATTTTTAAGACATGTTTGTTATAATTTCAAATTTTCATTGAATTTGAATAGTCAATGAATGTATAGTCATTAGAAATATGTTAATTAATTTCCTGAAGATTATAAAATAAATTATTTAAACTTTTGTGGGACTTTAATAAAATAATATATCGGGCTAAAACATTAATTTTTGAAACAACTTACCTATGCATTTCAACAACCAATGCCTTCATTTCATCCCTTACAGTTTTATCTCTATCAGCCAGGAGTATTGGTATCTTTTTCACCATAGGTTTTATAGCAATCACTTTGTTCCCAAACAATTTAAGAGCTGTGTTCAGAGCTGATACGCAGGCGGCAACAACTTTTGGATTCTTCTGTTCCATTCCTTTCAATAATTCTTCTTCAACAATCTCATGTTTTTCTATTTCTACATACATTAGTGTTATCTGATGAAAATATATGAAATTAATATAATATGATGTAAGTTGAAAAAAATTTAAGAACAAAGAAACTTACTAACATACTGTATATTTATACTGAATAAAGCCCCTTTTGTTGTAAGTATTTAAAAATAGGAGCGTCGGTGGCTCAGTGGTCAAGCACTTGACTTGCAATCTGCAGGTCCTAGGTTCAAATCCTGCCATGTACCAACTTGTTTTTCGATTTCCGATTTACATATGTACATTTATCCGACGTTCTTACGGTGAAGGAAAACATCGTGATGCAACCTGCACATATCTGAGAAGTAATTCAAAGATATGTGTGAAGTCAACCAACCCGCACTTGGCCAGCGTGGTTGACTATGGCCTTATCACCCTTAACTTAGGATAGGCTCCGAGCCCCTCGGTGGGGACATATAGTGAGCTGATGATGATGATTAAAAAATAGTCAAGGATTTTCAAAACTAATAGTACAAAAAGGTCAATTTGTCAAAGACTAAGTTAGTAGAGATAATTTAAAAAAATGTTGGTAAAAAACAATATCCTACCTGCAGTGCAAGATCTTTAGTCTTTGTTTTGGGTGCGGCAATGCATTTAGCGACAATACCAGACATAACTTCTCCAGTTGTCTTGCCTGCATGTCCACAGTTTTCCACAAACAGCAATGCAGCCTCCAAGCCTGATTTAAATAAAAAAAATCTATTTATTTAAAGAACAACTTAGTATTATAATGCTATATAAATTAAGTATGAAATAAACTTTTAACCATGTTTAAGACATTTACTTCAATTGGGTTCATTACTCAAGTCAATTAAAAAACTTGAGAGTCCATTCATTTCATTAAATTCATAAAAATAAAGTATGTTTATTCAAATCTTCCAATGACATTTGAATTTCAAATGTATTCACATTAAATTCAACTCTACATGCAAAGCTATAGTTTCATCTTTGTTGCATATTCAATTAAAATATGATAATATCAGAATAACTAGAATAAGAACATTGTTGATATAACCATTAGTTCCCACTGCCAAAACAACAGACATAATTTTCTCGGAGAGAATCACTGGTATGACAAATACTGGACAGGTTTTTTATATTATTAGGTGGCAAATGAGACAGCGGCCACCAAGATTTGTTGCCCATAGACTTCCGCAATTATGGATGCATTGCCTACCTTTTTAAAATAAAAATGTAAGAAGTTTGTAAATATGTTGATGAATAGAAACTCACCTTTTTCCTGAGCCACTGCATTGCTGTCTGTCACAAATTTCTTGATAAGTCCTAAATATTTATTCCACTCGGGTGACTTTTCATCATCAATTTGAATAAACAGTTTGCTCGCCTCTTCATAGCCGGCAACACGAGCCTTCCAAAGTTTGTGGACACATTTCTCCTCCGTCGGTAACTTTTTATATTCATTTTCATCCTCCATTTTCAGTGTTCAGTCTTCAATTCTATTACAAATTATATCTCATTCATAAAACATATTTCAACCTTTCCCATGAAGAGATATCTATTAATAGATGAAACTATTCTGATCAGATAATCAATATTACAATAAAGAATTAAAAAAATTCATGGAAAATATAATGTTTGTAAAAGGGGTATTTATTTTTAATTATATGTCAATCATGTCTCATATATTAAGTTAAAGAAAAAACCTTTTTAAATATTGGAATACAGAGTATAAACATTTAAAATAAGGTCTTGAAAGAGTTCAACAGAGGTCAAATATTTGTAAGGAAATTGTATTGCAACAAATTAAGTGTAACCATTTAAGGTAAAGTTTCAATCAGGATGTAGTAAAATGACTTTGACATCCACATATCACAAAAGGAATCTTGTCAACCCTGAGTACAATTTGTTCAATGCACATATGTTGCATACAATTGACCTTTAGGTAGTTTCTTTTTCAAGGTTACTAATGCAGTAAATGCAGTTTTAAGGAAAATAAGTATACAAAATAAATATTAAGAAAAACTTTTACAGGGTACTAAATGAGCTATTTCTTTTGTAACTTAAATTTTAATATTTCCGTAGATAATTGATATCACATATTAAACAAATTTATTTTTATTTTACCAAAATATCCAGTTGTTCAGTCTAAGTAAAACCGTTTAAAATAAGATACAAAGGATTCGGTTAACGACAATTTATTACATATAAGGGTTTTGTTATGCTCAATTTGAAAGACGTAAAATGTGATGATTCAACGATCCGTCCTTTTCAAATTGCTAATGGCTACCTGGCTATACTAGAAGGAATTTGAATCTTAAGCCGGTTCATTTATAGATGTACCCATTACGTTGAGATGTGAAACTGGAGCGAGTATACACGGAACGAACATCCGACAACGGTTACTTTCTAGCTGCAATACAAACAAAATGCATCAAATATCGTTAAACTTACCGTTATTCTGCAGCCCTTCTTGATGTCACTGGTTAAAACTACAAAAAATAAATGTAAAACTTGCAAAACATGAACCACTCACATGATCTAACGACAAGAAATAATATTTAACCGACAAAAGGAATTCTTTTCCACCGCAGTGCTATAGTTTTTTTGAGTTTGCGAAATGATAGAAAATGGAAGTAAAATCAATGTTACCAGCCGTAAATTTTAAGAAAACGGAACAAAGAACGGATATTACAAAAATGGTTGCAATATTTAATCAATTAATAGTAAATGATACAGTAAAATGAAGAATTTATTTCATTTAGATTCTTATTTCTTTTTTAATTTAATTTTAAGTTTAGGACGATTTAAAGAACGACTTAGTTTTTGCTAAAACTGACTGAACATTTTTACATAAAAAGGTCAAATCACACTCTTATTATCTTGTTTTTTATGAAGGTTTCAGGTGTTTAATGAATTTTCAAATATGTATTTTCTACGATAAGATTATACCGGTAATAATCTAAAATCTTAAACAGGCAACATTTCTTAATGTCAACCTAAAGCATTCAATTTTCAATCATTCATTCTTTACTGCAGTTTGTTTTGTTTTGAAAACGTCATTCTATAGTTCAGGTATATTTCATTCATTTCGACAGTCTCATTTTTCAAATGGTATTGATATAGATAGCGAGTGAGACGTGTGTCGCGTTATCGTCGCGATCGCTGTGCGTTCGCTACTCTTGCAGCCAACAACTGTTACAAATACAATACTAGACTTTTTTCTGTTTCATGTGTACCTTTATACTAATTTTAATTACTTTTTGATATAATAATAGTGAAACGTACACAAAATAGACAAGCCAAACAAACCTGTGTTGTGTTTTCGTTCGGTGTTGGGGCGAGAAGATTGCATTATTTCAAACCGAGAAGAGAAATTTTACCAGCTGTTTGTGCATAGTATGCTCCATATTGTAAGTAAGATTGAAAATTAAGTACTTAACGCTAATTAAATATGTACAAGTTAAACTAACTGAACCTTATTGTTTATATTTGTGTGTATATTGTGATAAGGAAATAAAAGGAATCAACTGTCTATTCTTTTATATAGTTATTGATAGGCATATAAATTTTATTCTATCTATAGAACAAAGACGTTTGACGCACCCGATTGGCGCGTTAGCGTTACTCTTACCTATATTCCACAAGTAGTTACCACGGAGTCTGTTTTATTACTAAGCTTGATATTAATTATTTTTTTTGTAAAAGGAACATAAACATACCTACAATATGCACTTTCAAATCCTTATTATTTTATGTGCAAAATAAAAGACAAAAAACTATGCCGGCTAAGGTAGGTAAAAGACAAAAGTCAAAGTAATGAAAAATAAATTGTTCTAATTCTATATTATTTTAACGTCCTATGCTTCCTTAATTGATTAACCCCATATTTATTTCAAAATCTACCCATAAAGAATTGTTTGGTAGGTACAATATAAAAAAGTAAGTGGATTATTTTTTAAAGCAAATTATCGGACGATATCAAAGAGTATGTTCCAGATAAAAGCGTACACCGGATTTTGTTTTCGTGATACACAGCCTTTGAAGGCTAATGGCTAGTTAGACAGGTAGCAGATACGGCGTTAGTTACGATTTTAAGGCGAGACACCTAAACATCGATCTCAATTTATAAAAATATATAATACATATACATGTAAGACTAGTGGTAGATAAATAAAGGAACTCTAAGCCTTTGTATGGGAGTTCTAAACCTCGAATTACTGAAACTTTTACGTTAATATCGCAAAGAAGCTGAAACGATCGTTAACCATTTCTCTTTTTCTTCCATCCCGAAAAAAACGTGTGAAATCACGTTACACCTTTTTAAGGCATAGAAAAGCTTTAAAAATTGTTGTAAAATAAAAAAAGCTGCCAGTGTTTAATTAATACTTAGGATACCTCAAATTTTTAAAAGAAAATTATGCATTTACCTTTTAACTTATCAAATAGTCACGTGCAATACATCACGTGTAGATATTAATTGCATGGCGTAAACTTTGTGGATACTTGATCGTAAACCTGAGTGCATGTTTATATATTTCCACTTAGAAATAGTAAAGGAATAACATGATATTGTACCAATAGACTTAAAGTATATCGATAAATATCTTCCCAAGTACTTATAAGACTGTTTTTTTTTTAACAGATTTGTAGGCAGCATTGCCTTAAGTCCAATATGTAAAAGTATAAGTGAGGAAGGAAATCCATATTGCTATGAGCTTTTTAAAGTCATTTAGCTTATTTAATTGGGCTTAAACTCTCTTAACGATTACAATAATATCTCTCTATTGAGGAATCCGCTTATGCCGTTACGTTATAAAAAAAGTGAATTTAAGATACTCAAACGAGCGAGCGGCACCTGAAATCGCCGAAATAGCGAAGCGACCGCTGCCCATAGACATACGCAATTGCATATGCGTTGCCCACCTTTAATCGCCGAAGGAGAGGATGCACAGAAAGAAAATTTCTATGCATCCTTTCATCCGGACATCTGTGTGGTCGTGGTATTTCACCGGGCGAGCCGGGCCAATTCGTGCGAAGATGTTAAAGCGGGCTCTACCACTGTAAAATTTGGTAAGTTTTGTCATTGTCATAAACAGCAAAGGACAAAGGTTGTAATATTTTGATTTTAGTAGTAATGCAACACGTATAAGTAGTAAATATATTTATACTACTCTCCCGGAAACCGCGAATATCCAAATATTTTGGCGAGAACGCGGGAATAGGTTACAATTTTTGTGTCCGCGAATCTTAATGCCGCGGGTATCGGAATCGCGAATAAGGATACTCTGTATATCATCGGAAGGCGCTTCTGAACATTACTTCCGTGATAATGTTTCTTTGTTACGGTGTAATGGAATCAATTTATTTTTTGCTATCGGAGCGATCAATTGACTTCGACTTAAGGCCGATCAGTGAACTACTGAAGTCATTAAAATCACGTTAAAAGACACTCTTGTATCCATTACTAATCAAACAATTTTAAAATAGTTTTGTATTTAGAAGGATAAGGGGAATAACTAGTTTTTTTTTTATATTAACTACTACTACGACACATGATATTTGTCTCTCTGTGTTTAAATTTAAAAAGATAACGTAACATTTTGGGTTATCAAAAAATGTCGTTTCAAATTTTAGTCACGCACTATAATAATTTTAGTCTTACGGAGGAACGGTTTCTTAAAGATTACAAAGGAAAAATGTTGGCATTTGCTAAAAAAACTAGCTGTACCTTGCTATTCCGTCTACGCAGGATTAAAAAATAGATACGAGCCGAATCTCAGAACAACATATGCATATAAAATTTCGTAAAAATCGGTGAAGCCGTTTTGGAAGAGTATGGTAACTAACATTGTGACACGAGAATTTTATACGTAAGATTTGTTTTTAAGATTTTTCATATATCTTCCGATTTAAAAAATTGTGTAGACAAGATTAGCTTACCGTGTTTAAATTTATTTATAGTCATTGACCGCAGATTTGTTTGTTTTAGATCGTTATCATTCAAAGTCGATGCAAAGGGCAATACTCGCTACTGCCCTTACCGAGTGCAATGTTCGTATGACAAACCCTTGAACTGCTGTTACGACGAGATAATATGACTTCGCAATTCGTATATACTTTCTGTTGTCTCTTGTTTATGTTAAGTGATAAAAATGTAAAGAACGAGAAGAATTGACGTAAGTTTTTTAGTTTTTTTTTTACGTTACAAACATACGAACAATTTGTAGCATTATGGTAACAGATATCTGTAATTTTTTCCTTTTTACAAAACTTAGAAATGCACATTTGTACCCAAGTATACTTTTTTTTTAAGTTCTTTTGTCAAAGAATCGTGGGTTTTCGCTGCATGTAAAAATTAAGAAACAAATCTTACAACAAATATTCTATTTTTCTATTGTGTTCAATTTGAAATGTAAAGAACGGCTCAATCAATTAAAAATAATCCTGACAATGATGGCGAAAATTTTACCACTGATAGGCAATGGAACTTAATGTTTATTAGTGTGGTCCCACACAGGACCTCATTAAGCCATAAAGTCACCAGTCTTTATTGTTATTGTACCATAGAGTGTTGTGTAGACGATCAATACTGTAATTAAAAGTATAGGTCGATGGTCTGTGGTTTAATGAAATTTAGATTGAGCCAAAAACTCTGGAGTTTGTATGTTCATTTATGAAGAGCTTATATAGGTACTAAAAGAAGTTTAAGGTTGTGTTACATGCCTGCAGAATACAGTTCTTGCAAATCTTATGCATCTGAGTATAAGTAGTATATTTTTCGGGTAAATATTTTTTTACGAAACTTTAAAAAAATTTGAGCATTTAATCTTACTTCGTACTAATATTAACCATCTGGAAGAACAAGTAGGCTATTTATTAAGATTTCGGACGGACGGCAGGGCGACAGCTAGTCTTGAATATTACAATATCACAATCTTTTGCCGTGTCATCATATAATTTCAGCTTTATGAACGTAGGTTTATTTTAGACAATGAATATGAGCATGCCTTTATATTGGTCTACATTAAATAACAGTAATCAAACGAGTCGTGATTGCCTTCAAGTGTTTTGTATTGCTCTACGTCATTTTAGGGATTTTATATGTTTGGTTTATACATAGTTTATAGATTGTATATAGTGGTGGTACTTATATTAAAACTTTGGATAGTATGTGCTACATAATGTATTTGATTTGATATCTTATGTTTTATAAGATCTGAGAAGAGTCACGTATTTTATTATGGAGAAATCGAAATTATCTTTCTGACTTCTGATGAAACCTTCTTTAATGGTATACTTAATTCGTAAATTGTAAATAATTCGCGTCATATAGCTAAAATATACGTGCAGTTCGTCACGTAGCCCGCAGACATGGACCGTTGCAATCGCCGCCATGTTGGAAAGCGCCATCTTTGGATATGAATCACACGAGTACGGATCACTGGACTTTTTACAGCCAATACATAGGGTTGCAAACTTTAAAAATACGAAGACCTAAACACTAGAGGAATAACTGTCAACCTTTAAAAAGGACGTCCAACCTTAAACCAAATAGATTGTGAAAAAATGACAACCAGGGACTTGTTACTTACTACTCTGATTTGGAGACATCTTATCCGGTATAAGCGGCAGCCCTAACAGAACCCAGAACCCCGGACGTGAAGTCATAAAAAAGTTAAAAGTATTGTTTATTGTTGAATTTAAATGATTGTTTCCGTTAGTCGAGTCTTAATTTTTGAACGATGTGTTAATATGAATCATTTCTTTATCGAGACTGAAAAAAAATCTATCTCTTGCGGATAGGTCATAAAAAAAAAGTTTGTGCACTGTCTATGTGATGGTTTGTATATAACTTAACAAATTGAGAATTAACATTAATTTCGCAAGTCTATTCTAGTATGTTATAATTAGATTTAGGTGTGTGCGCTGACGTGATGTCTGCACTGTAGAGGATTCCGCGTGAATCTGATTCTATTACCGAACGACGCACGCGTATTGTGCACGCGACCACAAGTTTACTCCGCGTTTCCATCATCATAGCACTTGTATTAAAACATATTGACATACCTTTTAAGCTAATTAATTACAAAATAAACAACAATTATTGTCTTTTATAGGTATATTAAATTCAGAGTTTCTTGTGTCTGTATGTAAATTGACTTAACACTTTCAATGCTACTAAAATTTTTAGTATTAAAATACACTAACTGAATCAAAACTATTCATTTCAATTACTTCATATCGAATCAGGTCTCTATACGGTTCATTGCGAAATAAATGCGAGTAGTACAAAATTAGACCTGCATTCGGTTTCCGTCTGCAAACATGGCAACTGGTTATTTACGGCCTCATATCGGTTGTAATTTAGGTTAAGCATACGGTTTTATTTAAACGTATTGATAAGTACAAT